TGGCTGTCAACTTTGTGTGACATCCTCTCAGTAAATGAGCATAACCTTACTCTGTTGGTATTGCCCTGCACCACAACCCGTTGCTGCCCAATTAGCGCTAGTTTGTGACAGTCATTCAAATATTATTTTGTTCTAACTTTGGTTGAAGGAAAATGGAGAAAACCGCGGCTCCATATGGAACCTCCATCCTTATGACAGCCTCGTGGCACAGTGATTAAACCGCTGTACTGCAGCCACAACTGCTCATGACCTGGGGTTCAATTCCAGGTAGCTGGCTCAAGGTTGGCTCAGCCTTCTATCCTTCCGAGGTCAGTAAAATGAGTACCCAGCTTGCTGGGGGGGCAATGTGTAGCCTGCATAATTAATTTGTAAACCGCCCAGAGAGTGCTTGAAGCACTATGGGGCGCTATATAAGCAGCACACTTTGCTTTTTTTGCTTTCTATTTTTCGCTTACTGTGCCTGGGTCTTCTTTAACAGCTTGGTATTCTTGATCCTCTTATGGAAAAACCAGTACTCCCCGCCTCAACTACAGCCGTGGGAATTTCGGTGGGGAAAGCCTAAAGAATATGGCTCCTTGGAAGTAATCCAGGAGTCCCCCATCAAATGCCTAAACGGGGAACTTGAGATCTTAAAAGCAGCACAGGTTCTTGACTCCTGAAATGGACCGCAGTCCAAGAACTAACTCTACCCTTTACAAGGACACAAAATCTTTGGTTTGGGTGTGAAAAAACAAACCCGGTAACCTGACATTATGCTTTGCAAGCATCTTGCTCCTGGTACGCTGCATCTCTTCCCTGAAAGGAGAAGTGTTCTCTGTGCTGTCCTTGTCCAAGCAGGTGGAGACCTGTCTCTTCAGGCAGGCTTTTCTGCAACGAATAACAGAAGACAAGAAACGGGTTGGCTTGAATTTTCTGGCTTCTAAATCTGTTTTTCTAACAGTTTTCAATAACATTTTTTTCGGATATTCATACTCATACTTCTTTAATATTTCAGTAGTTAACGATATCACCTTGTAACATTCGGTCCTTAACGATGGAAGCTGTCTTGGGTTTTTTTGTAGGAACAGAGTGGAGAAAAAATATTTTAAATGAAGAAATTATTTATTACATGTCTAAAACTATGTCAGGAACTGCCATGCTTTATTTTCGTGATATGGTTTGCTAGTGTAGACAAGGTCTGTAAATCAGTCATTCGATACTATTTTCTAAATGCTTTTTTTAATCCTTCTAATTTTTAGTATTATCATTCTGATACCATACATCATTGGCACAACGTCCTTCTCATTTTATTTTAAAATAGATAAACTTAACTCTATGTATTCTGCATCTTACAATAAGCTTCCATTGACCTGATGAATCAAATTCTCAATCATTAAATGTTTTTCCCAATATTAGATAGTCATAACACAGGACAATCATAACGCACCGTGTGCAACAACTTGAAAACTGTGATCTGCCCTATGAAACGGAGCCTCCTTCGTTTAGAACTTCAAGAATCCCCAGCCAGCATATAGAGGTTACAACCTATGCTGAAATACTGCTTTTTAAAGTCTCTGGATAAATAAAATAAACAAACAGCTATTTGCATGCAGACTGAATTTTTTGTTAAAAGAAAAAGACCTAATAAAGTTGATAAGAATCACAAGAATTAAGAATGCTTTAATTAAATAAATTGGAAATGAAAGTAGCTAGCTACTCGGTCCAACAGGGCTGGGCCTTTTTGTACGCGGCAGAAGGAGAGACAAAAAGATGGAAAAAGCCCCTCTAAGAATTAGCCTCTGGTTGGCGGAGGAGCATCAGGAGCTGGACCATTGCGTGTGATGGGTCCCAAAGCAGATACCCCTTACCACAGACTTGCTGGGACACTTTTATGGCTGTCCATCACCAAGGCCTTTCTGAAATGGGAACTCGGCATGCCTAGAAGTCTGAAAAACACCCCAAGTGGCCTTTCGCGTAACCTGTTTCCTGTCCCAATAACCAGGGACGGAGGGGCCAGGACAGATCCATCCACATGAGGGGTTAACCCACAAAAAGGGTGCCCTCCTGTGGTTCAACTGCAAATCTACAGGCTAGGGAATGCTACCCTTTTAGCCCCACAAAAAGGGCACCCTCCTGTGGCTCAACTGCGACACTGCAGGCTAGGGGACGCTACCCCTTCACCCCAATGAAAAGGGCGCCTCCCTGTGGCTCCACTGCTACTATGCAGGTTGGTAACGCTTCCACTTCACCCCCCCATGAAAAGGGCGCCCTCCTGTGGCTGCACTGTGACTCTGCAGGCTAGGGAACGCTAACAGGTGGGTGCTATATAAATCAAATAAATAAATAGATAAATAGATGAATAAATAAACAAAACAAAATAAATATATAAAAGAAACAACCATGAAGAACTTTAAATCACTTCATGCAGTGAAACGTGAGAGAGACGACTAAGAGGCTTAGTCCCGCCCTGCATTTCCTATGGTGTTTGGAGGCAAAGAGAGGGAGGGAGGGAGGGAGGGAGGGAGACAAATCCACCCAGACCCCCTTTAATCCTTTCCTTAGGGGCCAGCCTCATGGGGAGGATACAAACTGTAACTCTGCACATGCCCAGAGATTTGAAAAATCCCAAGCACTGCCTTTCTCACCTTGGATCAGATTCCTGTCCTAAAGGACTACAAAGCCCATGGTGTGGTGGGGGAGAAGGGGCCCAGCACTCACCCCACCCTCACCCATGGGCCTCCTTACCTAGCCACCGTCCCCGGGTGGCCCAGCGTTCTGTGCAGGCCGGAGTCTCCCACCGGCGGGCAGCTGGAACAGATTCTGGGTGTCGCAGGGGCAGGTGGGGCAAAAATTCGGGAGACACGGCAGGGAAGAAAAAGCCGATGTACTGCCCTTTAGCGTCCCAGCGTCGCCATGGCAACGTGATGGGAAGAGGTGGGCCCAGAGGACCTGCTCTCTGAATGTAAAGGGCTAGAAGGTCCCCATGGCAACTTGTGGGAAGAGGCCGGCCCTGAGGACCCGCCCTCTGATTTCCATTGGCTGGAATGGCTCCATGGCAACTTGTGGGAAGAGGCGGGCCCAGAGGACCTGCTCTTTGATTTCCGAAGGCTAGAGAAGAGGCGGACCTGGAGGACCTGCCCTCCGATTTACATTGGCTGGGAGCGGCTCCATAGCGACGTAACAGGAAGAGGCGGGCCTGGAGGACCTGCCCTCTGAGTTCCAAAGGCTAGAACATCCGCATGAAAGGCCCTCTGAGTCCAAGCGTGCTAGATGGTTCCTCTACTCGCCTGCCCGGCCAGTTCTCCGCTCCCTCTGCTGGCAGCCTCAGGCCAGAGGGGATTTCCCCACACCAGAGGACCTTAATCATTTCACACACACACCCAGGCTTCCCAGCTTGTGGAATGAAAACCCGGGCACCTAAAGGGTTCCTGCTGGAGACGGGGGGGGGGGGGGGTCCCAAG